CCGGATTTTTCTTCAATTCTTTGTACAACTCCCCCGTTCGGAGAGCATTTGTGAACAGGGTAATGGCGGTATCATCCGTCATGTTTCCCACTGTTAAAGTCTCATCCCTCCACCTTTTCAGGAACTGGTTGAGGGTCTCTTTGGCGTTTTGCTTCACGCTGGTTAAATAGCTGAAGTGCCGTTTGGGATTGGCACTGGAAGCAAACTGAGACAAGAATAACGCTGATAACTCGGCAAAGCTGTTGATTGACCCGGGTTGCAGTGTCCCGAACCATTCCTGGGCAAGCCCCCTGAGTGTGCTGAAAAACAAACGGCAAATGGCGGCCTCGGGTGCTCCTAGCAGCATAAGTCCCCCTTGGTAACTCCTCAGATGTACGTGGGGATCTCCCACCCCATCGTAAATTTGGCCGGTCGGGGGCTTGGCACCCCCTTGGATATCCGCGTACATGAGCTCCCTAGTGAACGGGGAAGTAATTCCCACCTGAACTGGTGCAGGTTGTACAGGTACCCTGTTCATCTGGTCCTGCATTTCATTCATTTGCCTCCTCATCTCGGCCATCTCTTCCTCCTGGGCCGTCAAAGGGGGCGGTGGTGGAACCCTCATATCCGTACAGTCCCGGTCCCAATGCCGCTGAGGGGCCCTAGTATTTTCCCGCTCGGCATACTGGAAATGATGACCGACGGGAGTTGGTCCTCTAGCTTGTGACCCGACCGGGGTTCGGTCACTGGAACTGGGATGCACTGCTGGTGGGGTGCTACGTCGATTATCCCGATGGGCATGCGAACGGGATGACGCTGTGGTTGTTTCCGCGCGTGGAGTTTCTCCTGTAAAGCTGGAACCTCCTTCCTCTTCGTTCGCCATATGCTGCATGAATTGGGCCATGTCACGCATGGCCTGAGGATTCCTTCTCAGAGATTCGGGAATCACAAAATCCCCATTAAAACGAGGATACGATCCTCGACTGGATTGTCCCTGAGGGTTTTGACTCCCCGGGGTGTGACTCCTCCCGTGACGGTGTGAACCGTCGTTTGTATGATAGGAACTGATTCTGACCATTTTTGAAAAATAGAGGTTTTTTGGATGTTTAGAAAGTGAAACTTTTTGCAAGTTCCCACAGACGGCGCCAATGTTGAGGGTAAATCCCGTAGATCCGAAAGCCCAACACGAACTTTGGATATATCAGGAATGGCCCAGAATCAAAGTGTATAAAGAAATATAAGATCTGAACTAACTAAAACTTGAAAGCCCACTTGTATTAATTAACCAATCTGATTACAAGGAATTTCCCGATCGGTAAGTAGGAAACTATGCTTTAATACAAGAAATAAGAGCAAATGATGTTATTATAGAGCTTGAGTATTGAAATGCTAACCCTTATAATGACTTGAAACCTTCTATTTATACTAATGGAGAGCATGGGCTGCCTCATGCTGATTGGCCGTTGTTCCACCGACTTGGTCATCCATGCTTCCACTTGCTGATGTCATAGTCTGGCATTAATTGCACCTGGCCACTTGCTAGTTGGCCGTTGCTCGAACGGGATGTTGGACTGTACTGAAGATGCTGTCAAATTGGCCCAAGTATGATATATAGCCCGAACCTCGTTCGGCATGTCTTCTTACTGGGCCAACCTTTATTTGGACCGAACCCCGTTCGGTATCTTTTCTTACTGGATCTACTCATCATAGAGTGATGGGCCCGTTGCTTGGGCCAGATATCTTGGGCCTTCCCGATCTGGGTATTGGGCCTCTAGGTCAATATCCCAACAATATTATTGGACCGGCTTCTCATCGCCATCGTACTCACCTCATGACCGGCCCCTCGGCCTCAGCGTGATGATCCATTTCAAGATCGACCACTCATTGCCGAAGTCTTGAGCTAGCGACTGGGTTCGTCATTCCCTTCCTGGATAGCAACCGTCGCCTTTAAAGACGATCAGCTCATCATCACCTCGTCATTATATATTGGACCGGCTCCTCAGCGCCGTCGTCCTCATATTCAAACCAGCTCCTCAGCGCGTCCGTCCTCATATTCAGATATAGCGAATATCTTGCGGTCTTCGGCTGAAAGGCTAAAGGAGCCCAAAGTTCAGCCACAGGCCCAATCGGTCACATATCGCTCCGTCATCTTTATTTGATAACGCGAAGTTCATTTACAGGCCCATCAGTCATATATCGCTCCGTCATCTTTATTTGATGACGTGAAGCTCATTTACGGGCCCATCGGCCATATATCGCTTCGTCATCTTAATTTGATGACATGAAGCTCTCATACAGGCCCCTCGGCCATACATCGCCCCTTCATCTTTATTTGATGACGTGGAGCTCTCATACCGACCACTTAGTCATCTCTCATGGTCATCTTTATTTGATGGGTCGGACTTCTTATAGGCCTCTCGGCCACATGTCTCGGTCACTTTATTTGATGACCCGGACATCATATTATGGTGGGTCACTCGACCTATCTCTTAGTCATCTTTATTTGACGAGTAGGACTACCTATCATGCTGAGCTACGCACATACGAGGACCGATCTTGGCCATCCCCTTAGCAGATGCCGACGGTTGCAGTTCCACACCTAGGCCGAAGGGTTCACCCCTTTCGCTTCATTTTGGGGGCATCCGATGTACTCTTTTTACCTCATTAGGATTTTTTCCCAGAGGTTTTTTTCCTAATGAGGTTTTTAACGAGGCATCTCCCCATTGTGGATCAAAAGGTGTCGACCCTCGACCCCCTATTGAAGACATCATGAGACATTCACTACTCTGTTCCTCTTCACCTTACTACATTCACCTCAAGGAGTGGGGGACTGGAAGAGCGGAGGACTTAGCACCTCCGTTAACCAAAGAAGCAGAAATTCAATTTTTTTCACGAAGTTTACTCACCAGACGACGACATATCAGCACACAGTTCTACTCCCTTTCGCCTCGAGTACTCTCGACTCAGGGAGTGGGGGACTCCTGATAGAGTATATAGACTCGGACCCCCGGGTCTCACGACTATTGGGCTTGGACAGCGGCCCACACACGCTTATCAGATGTCTTTTGTATTATTGTACTGTTCATATATCATCGGTATGTACTAGATTAGTCTTTTATGTAGTTGGGCCTATTGGGCCCATATCAGTGACCCGACCCATTATTTCTCTATTTATACTCCTCTTGGAGCCACTTGTAACCCTAGAACCAATATTCACACACATTTCTACTATTCTATCATCTTCTTCACTTTCATAGCTCAAATCTCTCCATTTATTATATAGTTTGGATCTCTATAATCAATCAACTAAAATACACATAAACAGATACCTACCATGTGAGTCAACCAATTCATTGATTATAGATTTGAAGTTCCGAATGTATAGCCAATATAATGTTCAACCATGCTTGATGTACACATACTTGTACACACCTTATACACACCATGTTTGTGAAGTTTTTTTTTTGTCTGTGAACCCGATTCATAGACAATATTTTGTTTGTGCAAAACATTGTCTGTGAATCGATGTTCACAGACAAAAAAAAAAGCTTTCACAAACATAGGTGTGTACAAAAGTGTATATAAGAGTGTGTACAAACATCATTTTTGTATAATGTTTGCGGCGAGATAATAATGAGATTCGAGCAGTTACAAACGGGTGTGGATGAATTTTGAATTTAGACTAGATAATAGGAGGACGATATTATTTCTAGCCTCGTAGGAAGGTGCGAATTTGGAGGGAGTACATGGTGATACGAGAAAAGAGACTGAATTTTATATTTTGTGAAAGATATCAAATAAGATGAAAATGCAATATTTATACTAGGAGCGGGCATATTAGTTTGATTTAACCCAACTCAAACGTACCAAACTCAAACTGCTAAAAACTGAACCGAAAATCGATATACTCACCTCTAGACTTGTCAATGGATCGGGTCCGGGCCGGAACATAGTGTTCCAGACATGGACCCGCTAATTTAATAAAAGATCCAGACCCAAGCCGTATACCCGGCGGGTTTGAAAATTTTGACCCAAACCCGGACCCAACGGGTCTCGGAACTGGGCCGGGTAGACCCGCCAAGTATGATATGCACAACATTACAAATTTTGTAAAAATAACAAGACATGTATATGAAAGGTAAAACAAAGTGCGCAAACTTAAATGCAAAATATATTCACTTAAAAAAATGTTTCTCATAGAAAATTAATACTTTTATCCAATGATGTATCAGTTCTTGTAGAAGTGTATAACTCCACACTTTGTGTCTGTTTCTCTTGCACAGAAAACTCGTATATTAGACAAGAAATTAGGTCACAAAAAGGTCTCTTGGATTACTGAGAATATAAAAACATATAACATATAATAAATGTTGGGCTTTGCCTAACGAGCCCAATATATACACACTCTATCAGTATGTATAAACAGCCATTATGGATATTAGTTTTAGGGTATCTCACTATCTCGATCAGTATCACAGTAGGTATGTATTAGTGTGTATCTTTTTAACTAAAGAATTACAACTAATAGAAAAATGCTAGAAGTACAAACACACTTACAAAAAAACTTACAAACAAGTGATGTGGCTATTCAAATTACCATTGATGTAAAAGTGTTGTAAATGTGATGTGATGTGTTAAATAATGTGATGATGCCACATACCCCTTTTGTAAGACTTTTTGTAGAAGTTTTTGTACCTCTAGCATAACTCCAACTAATAACTTTATGTATTAGTATGTATATGTGTGTGTTTTTGTGTATGTGTATTAGTTTGTACGTAGTATTTTTTATTTGAAGTATTATTACTAATCACTTTATGTAGAGTGTGTGTGTATATATACTAATAAAAAAATTAATCGGGTCCGAGTCTTTAACGGGTCAGAATCATATGTACCATACCCGAACCATTGACAGGCCTACTCACCCCCAAGTTATCTCCGGATATTTAAAGGCGATCGTTTTTTAAAGATTTCAATGACAGATGGGAAATAATAGAAGAATTAACAAGACAGTGAGGATAAAATACAGGCAAAGTTTCACGCGAGATGCCCTGCCGTCGCAACCTCCACTGACATAATCGAAAAGCTCTTTTCATTTTAATGAATAAAATATCAAGACACAGAGAGCAAAATATGGACACTGGAGAACACACAAATGAGAGTCTTCCTCATTTCTTCTGAAACTGTCAACTCTAGAAAATATAACAATCAATGCTTCCCACAATAATAACAAAAATAAAATTTCTCCAATATAGTGTAATCCATCCATATATCCAAAACTAAAATCAGTGCTTTCTTTCAGTTTTCCTTTCCGGTTTATTTCCATCTGTCCCTCTTCAACTCACAAATTGGGTCAATCTTCATATGCCAAATCCAATGACTTCAATTGGCTTTAAAGTATTAGTACCTGGCTTCAACCTTTACCGAAGCACACCTATCAACTTTTATCATCTCTGCCTCTTAGAATCAAGAGCCCTCCCTCCATATTTGTAGATTCATTCTTCCCACTCAAACTTTGCATTTTAGTTTAGTATCATATCGGGAACTTCCTCGACAGCTGAATTCGTTGTGTTAGGTGGTGCATCTTGACTTTGGCTATGATCTTGACAGGGTCCTTTCATGTCAATATCCCTTGACTTGCTAATTTTCCCAATTGCAAGAATAAGTTCAAGTTGCTTCTGTTGTTGGTCCTACAGATATGTTTATGAATGCAGTAGAAGGTGAGATCCATCATTAAACATGGTAAGGCTATGTTTCTTAATGTTTAGTTTTAACTCGGGATATTCAATGACAACAACATTTGATTTTTTTTGTTTTACAGATTCATCAGATTTCTTAGTCTATATACAATAGAAGTATATAACTATAATTACTTTCAACAATAAAATTACTTTGAACAAATATCAGAAGTTTGTTTATTGAGTTGGAACGGATGTTTTTCCCACCAAATTTTCCTTTCTTCCACAGTTCCTCTATATCTTCCTCATTTTCTTTCGATGTTCCAAACAGAGCCTCAGCATTCCCCACTTGGCTGACTACATCAAGCAAAGACTATTGTACTAATTTGAACTACATACACTTACACGGAAAAGGTCATAGCTACAATCACAAGTCATGAGGTAAAAGGTTATTAGTTACTACGGAGTAACATACTAACATTTGGCTTTTTAATACAACAACAACATTACCCCAGTCCTGCAAAGGCTCCTACCTACGGTGGGGTAACGGGAACATTTGGCTTTTTAATGAAAGAGGAAATTTCCTAAATAGTACTCCGTAAAAGATGCCAAAATTTCTCAAATAGGAGTACACTTGTTTTATTCTCAAAATAGGCCTCGTGCATTCCTCTAGAGGGATTTTTTCATTCTTATATTCTTTTAATAGTATCAAATATGTCCTATTTCGGGAAGAACACACACTTGAACTTTTCGTATGTTTTACTCTTATTTTGAGCGATTTCTATATATATTTTTAGCTGCGGACCAGCATGTATATTTAAATTTCCACATAGTATGTGTGGTGGGATAGGATCTTTTGCTATACGTCATAGTGCCCGCCTGATCTCAGCTATTCGATATGTGGGGCCTCCCACCAACGTTGATTGAACAGACCTCAAGATCATCTCACCAAGACAAATTGTACTCGTTTACGTGTGTGAGGGCGCCTTTAGTGTGTCTGTGTCTATTCCATTGTTCAAAGAGAACAACTATGTCATGGCCATTTAAGCTCCATGTTAAAAAAATAAGCTTGCTATGTTGATTCTCCCTTACAAAAATGAAAATTGGTATCGAGACAGAGAGATATTCATACTTGCATTGCCAGTAGGATGTTTTGTATTTCAACAAACTCTTTCTCAAGAGTTTCCCCTTCCACTGCCAATGCTCTTGTAGCCTCAGAGTTTTTCTGGGCCAATGCAGCAGTCTGCAAATCACGATGTGGTCAATGGATTACCAGATACAGTATCATCAACTATCATTGAAAAAAAAATGACACCCGAATTGTAGAATAAATTAATCAGAATAAGTACCTCCATAATAGGATCCTTCAAACTCCTCATTTTAATCCGAAAACGAGTCCCTAGCTTTTCAAGCTGCCTTGATAACACCCGAATTATCTTCATGGAACCCCTGGATTCTTCTTCCAACTTCTCAATCCTCTCTACAAAATTAAACCCCTCCGAACCCTTACTGGACTTCGAAAAGTCAACGTTACAAATCCTCCGCCACTGCCGCCTCCTAATTACTGCGCCGATCAGCATTCCACCTGCCAGTACTGCGCACTGTGCTACCAGAAACCGGAACCCGACCCAGTTCTGCTGCCGGAAAACCCAAGAATTCACCGCAACTGCAATTGACGCAGCCGCCGAGGAGGCCAAGCACAGGAATTCAAGAACTGATAAGAAAGTATCAAAATCAAATCTTTTATCGGGCACAGTTTTCTCGGTTGCTTCCAATTCGAATGCCCTAACGACGTACCTTTGGCGGGTCTTAAGAAAATCCAAATTGGGAAAATGGGTTCTAGGAGGTTGGATTCGCAGGGTAAAGGGTTTGAGGGAAAGGGAGATTCTTCTGGATTTCTCCAAACGAGTTTGCGGGTAGCGGCTAAAGCTTCCGACCCGACAATGAGAGTTTGAGGCTGTGAGGAGGTTTTGCGACATTGTTGTTGCAGAAAGAGCTATGGATGCTGCAAAAGGAAGATAGCGGCCCTATACGGTTCGGGGTTTGACGGGTCGGGTCATCGGAAGCATGACCGGATTGGGGATTTTGTAAGGAACTGGGAGCAGACTCGAAGAGAAGTGGAAGGAAATTGAAAGAGAGAATTCACTGGACATTTTTTAAAAAGTTTTAAAATTCCAAAATAGAAGAATCAGTGACATTTTATGTACATGATTTTTAATTTTTCCATTTTTAGTTCTCGACTATTGTTCGTGAGACACTTTTAGTCCTCTACTTTCAAGTTTCCCACATTTAGTCCGTTGAGTATTATCAAATTGACACTTTTAGTCTTTCTACTATGATTTTAACACAATAAGTGAAGGACTAAAAATGTCTCTATTGCAATAGTTGGAGGACCAAAAGTGTCATTTCTACAAAAGTCGAAAGGCTAAATACGGATATTTTCAAAGACGGATACCAAAAGTGTCTCTCGCACAATAGTCGAGGACTAAAAGTGGAAAAATTAAAAGTCGAGTACCAAAAGTGTAGTGCTTTTAGGTATATGATGATGATTTTTTTTGCGGAAAATGAAATTACATTTTAGGATTTTAGGCAGAGAATGCTTAGGCGGGAGATTTTGCTCTCTCTAGTGTAGTGCTTTTAGTTATAGGATAAGCGGAGAATGCTTGGACGGGAGAATTTTCTCTCTCCAGTGTAGTGCTTTTAGGTATAGAATGATGATTTTTTTATTTGTCGAAAGTGAAATTACATTTTTGAATTTTAGGTATAGGATAGGATGATGATTTTTTTTTTTTTGCGTAAAGTGAAATTACATTTTAGGATTAGAGGGAGAACGGTTAGGCGGGAGAATTTTCTCTCCAGTGTGGTGCTTTTAGGTATAAGATTAGGTATAAGATAGGATGATGTTTTTTTTTTGCGAAAAGTGAAATTACATTTTAGGATTTTAGAGGAAGAATGCTTAGTCAGAAGAATTTTCTCTCTCCGGTGTAGTGCTTATAGGTGTAGCATAGGATAGGCAAAGAATGCTTAGGCGGAAGAATTTTCTCTTTCCAGTGTAGTGCTTTTAGGTATACGATGATTTTTATTTTGCGAAAAGTAAAATTACATTTTAGGATTTTATTCGGAGAATGCTTATGCGGGATAATTTTATCTCTCCAATGTAATGCTTTTAGGTATAGCATGAAATCACATTTTATGATTTTAGGTTAAGTCGGAAGAATTTTCTCTCTCCAGTGTAGTGATTTTAGGTATATGATTTTTTTGCGGAAAGTGAAATTACATGTTAGGATTTTAGGCGAAGAATGTTTAGGCGGGAGTTTTTTCTCTCTCCAGTGTAGCGTTTTTAGGTATAGGATGATTTTTTTGCGGAAAGTGAAATTACATGGTAGGATTTTAGGCGGAGAATGTTTAGGCGGGAGATTTTTCTGTTTCCAGTGTAGTGTTTTTAGGTATAGGATTCTCAACGGTATCCTTCCCTATTCTTCATTCCATATGCCGCAGATATACCTTTCACCTGAAGAAAAAATGGCCGGGCAGCTTAGCATGAAAAGATCCCCAAATTATCACAAGCTTTTTTGTTGTATTCTTCTCTTCATCCCTCCCTCAATTTTCTCAATTTTCTCCCCCCCCCCCCCCCCCCCCCCCCCCATTCTTCTCTCTCCCTATTCTTCACCCATTCCCTACAACATAGACGGCGGATGCAGATCGTGATGTCAAAATCGGAAGCGGCGAGCATCTCTCCTCCATCTCTCCTATACCCCTGAAGTGCTTACAGCTATGTTTCAAAAAATTGCATGAAGCTTCGACACCAATCACATCTAGCTAGGGTTATTTTTAGTCCACCTGTTAACTCATCCATTTTTAGTCCACCTATCCATTTCAATTGTTATATTTTTATTTAATTATGTTTAGAATTATTAGTTAACTCACATATACATACATATATATATTCCGTAGTACGGAGTAGTATACTTATAAGATCATACGTAGTATTAAACAAAAAAACAAAGAAACAAATATTGTCGATCCTAAAGTCCTTTTTTGTCTTTTCATATTTTAACCGCTAAAAGCAAACAGTTAAGTTACCAAACAACTTTCTGTAACCCGCCAAACTAATCCGTCGGTCAAACCCGCTGACTCAATCCGCTATTTAAAACCCGCTAACACAATTCGCTAACCGCCGATTGCCAAACAAGCCCAAAGACTAGAGTAGATAGTATAATAAATAAAAGGGGTTATTTCTTCAATATTACTAAATGAAGTGTGATTTTCTAAAATGTGACCACTTTTATATTTGGACAAAGAGCCTGTTTGGTAGCACGAAAATTGGCTGTTTTGGCTGATCATGCTGAAATTTATGAAGTTCTGGCTGAAGTGGCTGTTTTTGGCTGTTTCTGCTGATTTAAGTAAAAATTATTTTTAAAATATATTTTATTAATAAAATAAAGAAAAAATTATATGGAAAAATAGCTAAAATGGTCATCTACAGTAGCTTCAGCCAATAGAGCCAGAAAAGTAACTCTAACCTTACTTTTTCTGCTTATTACACAATTCAGCGCGCGAAAGTAAAAGTTACATGTTTGGTGAAAAAGTTGGCTGATAAGACTGATAAGCCGGAAAAAAATGTTACCAAACGGCCTCAAAATGTGACTAAAGTTGTCATATTCATGTCATTATCACATTTTAATGTCACTGATCAAATTTAATGTCACTATCGAATATCACGATCGCCACCACCGGTGTCACTATAGCCACCGCCCGTGTCACTGTGGCCACTGCCCGTGTCACTGTGGCTGCAGTCCCATCCAATTAACAAAAACCAAACCTTAAGCCCGTTCTCCTAATTCAAATCTCAATTGAAGGAATTAATCGAAAGCAGTTAGTTCTCCTAATTCAAATCTCAATTGAAGAAAATCGAAAGCAGTTGCTATGCTCTTGAGAAACAACAAATAGAAGAAGCAAACTGTATGAATTGCAGCAGCGGCGGAGGCTGTCAGTTGCACAAGCGACGACCGGATGCGTAGGATTTGCGACATCAGGGGAGCGGCAGCGAAGCCGGCGCTGTGTTTGGTGTCATTGTTGGTCGAGCTCGCCGAAGTGGCAAACCACTTTTGTCCACCTTTCGTTGTCGGCCGATCTCGCCAAAGTGGAGGTTTCCAGCGTCGTTCGAGTGGCAGACGAGTGGTAGAGGGTGGCAGCTCCTGGTTGGTCTTCATAGAGCGGTGGTGAGAACGAAATCTGTGGCACCGGCGGCCATGGATCGGAAGGGAGCAGACATATGGATATGCATGGATTGTGGATATGGCCTGTGGGGAGCTTCTGGACTTCTGGAGTTGAGCGGAGATGAGGCAAGAGACACGCGATGGGTTATTTTATCTCCTTTTGTAATGTTGGAGTTGGTCTGTGCCGCAAGACAGAAGAGAAGAGGTCAGGTCACTTTTATGGCATTTCACTTTTATGGTTATGATGATCCCGGATAGAGGTAAAAGTCTCTAGAGGGGGGGGGGGGGGTGAATAGACTTTTAAAGTTTTTTCAACTTTAAAACTTTTCCCTTCTAGAAGAGTTGACCTATAATCTTTTGAGTGATTTATAGATGCACAGCGGAAGTCTTTTAACCTCTAGTTAATCAGTATGTGACACTTTCTAGCTTGAGTGATGTTCTGACTTATATAGTGAGCAGTTGGCTTGGCAGTTGGCTGGATGGCAGGGAACTGCGAAGGCAGCTGCTGAGGAAATATTTAGTGTATGATGAAAGTGAAGATATAATGTTGCTTAGAATGATGAGAGCTTTCTGAAGATGTGCTGAGATGATTAAAAGTGAGAGTTTATGAGAGCAGTGGTCTCAGCGGTTGGGTGGTCACCAGAGATTTGCTGAGGCAACTGCTTAAGGAAAGATGTGAGTATGGGAAGACTAAATATATAATATTGCTCAGGGTGATTAGGGCTGAATTGTGGTGTAAGTTTATAAGAGCAGTGGGCTCAGCAGTTGAGTGGTTACTGGGGAACTGTTGAGGCACGTGCTGAGTAACAGGCTGATTTTCAGAAAGATGTTTGAGCAAGTTTCTTTATAGATGATGTTATAAGATCTTTGCGATGTAGAGATGCCTCAAAGAAAGTAAGTAATTAAGTAGTAGGATAAGCAGTAAAGTCAATTGAGACTACTGCTTAGGATGCTGCTGGCAAACTACAATCTTTTAGTGAGAAGTGTTGGGTGTGTGCTTTGTTGAGTGAAAGTAAATCAACACACAGTATATCCTAGTTCAGAGGTGGTGTAATCCTCCTACGTCCAATCTCACCCTCTTTCAGATGGATTTCCGCTAAAGTAATAAGCCCAATACACTTAGTGCCAATCTAGCCTTTACAACACTTAGGCCTAGATTGAAGGTGTTTCACAAGGAGTACAACACTACTCCAAGTTACTCAATCCTTAGACTTTTCTCAAATGATCCAGTGGGGATCAAGAGGTACTCTATCTATCTAATCACACTTAGGACTTGATAACATGATAACACAATCCTTCTAAGTGTATATGTTGGTCCCGTTTGTAATGGGAACAGTCTAGAGGGGGGGTGAATAGACTGTTCAGGAATTTAAACTTTTCTCTAAGTCAAAACTGACTTATCAGAGATGGTCGAAATCTGGTGACAGAGATGGTCAGGTTCTGATGGCAGAACTAGACCAGGCAGCGGATAAATTTCTGTTCGGGTAGCCTCAGAGGAAAAAGCTAAGGCAAAGTGCCTTTCTGATAACTCTGAAGGAAGATCTGCTGGACACAGAGTCCAACGTTAAGAGTTAATCAGTAGAATCTTAAGTGCGGGAATTAAAAGCTTAAAGTAAATGACACCGGGGTTTTTATAGTGGTTCAAGGAACAACTTGTTCCTCTAGTCCACTGTTCCACTAAGCTTGCAAAAACAACAGTTTACAACGCCTTAGTCCCTAGAACTTAAGAAGCACTCCTCGTCTTCTTCAAGTCTAGTTGCCACCCGGGATGCAGTCCTGCTTCCTGATGGCTGGTCTCGTTTCACTGAGTCTCTTGAAGTATCCCCACTTCACTTACTCCAGCTAGTTTGAGACGTCCCTTCTTTTTCAAGAAGTGTTTGATTCAAAATCAGTTTTCTCCAACGTGGCTTCTTCACAAAGGATGAGTAGATGAAGCTTTAG